GTGAGATTGATTAAGATTCCTTCAGGTTCAGATTCTTTTTATTTTAGTTATTCTTTTATACTCATGATAGAATAGTTGTAATATGATTGTATAAATTCTAAGTAGTGTATATAATTTTTTTTAAAAATAAATATAGATGTACATATATATGTTTTGAATTTTAGAATTATTTATGTTGTTTATTTTTTATAAATAAAATTAGATAGTTCTGGTGTTATTTATTAAATAATAAAAGATTAATTCTTCTAAATTAGATTATAGGGCATCATATGTAATTCATTCGAGCTCAAGAATACCAATCCAAATTTTGGCAAGTTCTTCAACATATTGTATTCGTATTGACCCTGAGTTAAGAGACTATTTGACTACTATAATCTGCTTAAATATTAGTGGAATCATTTCAACTAGACAAGTTCCCAAAATTTTTCCCTTCTTCATTGATTTTCATATAAAAAATTCGGTGTTTCTTTATCATTTCAATTACCTAGTTTTGCGTTAAATTTTTGTGCATCGCTAAGATGTATAATCTTTTCACTCTATCACCGTGAATTTCTCAGCCCAAAAAAAGAATTAAATTCATTTCCTATTTCATCTCATCTCTCTGACGCATCCTTATCCAATAAAAACATTTAACATAAACAAAAAAATATGAAAATTTTTATTTCCCAAAAATATATGTGTGTGAGTCCAACTAATAAAATTTTGCATTTTTATCATCCACATGCTTCAAATATTCTATTTTACAACATATCAAAAATTATAAGGGAAAAGTTTACCAAACTTTAGGAAATAACATAAAATTCTAAATCAGTCCATTCAAATGTTGAATATAAAATCTAAAGCAGGTGAAACATAACCTACCTTGAGTTGAACAATTTCTTAAATAAACTCAATGGAAAAAATTGCTCGAAGGCTCCAAAATATCTTCTTATTCTCTCTCTCTCTCTCTCTCTCTCTCTCTCTCTCTCTCTCTCTCATCTCCCCTTCATCCATGAAAGGAATGGGGGTGAATACATTTTGAGTTGGTGATTTTAGATATTTATATAAAAACTAGATTTTTATACTTGCACAACAACATCTTTTAGCCCCAGTGTTTTAGGTCTACTAGATAGAGATCACAACGCCACGATGCCACTACACGTCCTTAAATATGATCCCCAAACAGGAAGCTCAAGGCCACAACGCCGCCATCACAACATCGTAGTGGTTCCAAGCAAATTTCTAAAATATGACTTTCTCACTTCTCAATTCAACCCATATACACATGTAGACTCAAATGAAATTAAAAAAAAAAGGTTTCTCATATGCAAAAATTAATAAAAATTGAAGTGAACTTAGAAATCTGATCGATCTAACTCAGGTCAACAAAAGTAGACCTATTCTTGTATCTTTGAAGACATAAGATGAATATCTTAAAAATAAATACTTGGAGACGGAAGAGGATTGTCTTAAAATAATACTAAGGATTTTCACCAAAATATAAAGGGTTTTGATGGGTCAAATAAAGGCTATAATCTAAATAAGTTAGATTTAGTATAGTTATAGATGACAAATTTGGGAGGGATTTTGGATGGAACTTTGTGGGTAAAATGCAGAGAAATGGATATGGAATGGTCAGGGGATGACTATAGAATAAGTTTATAGCAAAAAAATATAAATATAAATATGATATAATTTCTACTCACCAAAATAGAAAGTTTATAGAGATCACCAAACCTCTTCATGTGAGGGTCGACCACCAATTCTCCACTTATTGGATTAAACGCTATTTTTTGTAAGCACAATAACGAACACTTTTAATTCTTCATTTTATAATATTTATAGCTATTTTATAATGCATGAAATAGAAATAAAATTAAATGGAGAGAGAAGATGGGGCTAACCTACTTGAAGAGGGCAAATGGGTAGTTATACACATAGAAAAGTATAATCACATCTTTCATTGAGGAGGTTGACAATAAGTTCTTAAATTGATTTTTATTAACCATTAATTTTATTTAAATTCAATCTAATATTCACTCATTGGGATCCCTCAAAGGTTTCAAAATTCATTAATTCAAATTTTAAAAATTTTAATATTCAAATTTTAAAACATTTAAATTTCATATTTTAACAATACAATTATAACTAAAAATATTATAAATCATAGACTTTTATGCAAATTAACTTACATAAAATAGAAATACTCTTTTAAGTCACAAACATAAAAATGAAATTTTACTTAAGAGCATCAATTTTGCTTGTTATCCTAGGTCTTCGAATCTTCTTTTTTGAGGTGGCTTCTTGTGCCACATTAATTCTTCTCGTCCTAAAAAAACTATTCTCCAAAGAGTTAGATAGATGCGTCCCAATAATGTTTCATGAATCTTTTTTCTCTGTTATGTTCTATTAAGAGATAAATTCTCATTTAAATCTAATAAAAAAGTTATTTTTAATACTTTCTAACCAAATCTTCTTAAGTATACTTCTTGTGACACATACAAGCTCAACATTTAGTTCCGCTAGTTCCAACTTGATTGGAAAAAGGTAAGATTATAAACTTTTGAGTTTTCAAGTATTTGCATATCTTTGGAAGTGTTTTATTGCATGAAATTGATTGGGTGCGCTTAGAATTTGTCCCAACTGTTGCGTGTGAATTTCAGCAAAATCGGATAATGTCACTTTTGGAGCGCAACGCCACTAAGTGTTCTAGGGCAGCCGTACTGCACTCAGCCAAGACGCCAAAAAGTGATATTGCGACACCAGTTCATGGTTTGTTAAAGATTTTTTAGCACTGTAGTGTTTTGATTTGAGCGCCACAGAGCTAGGCCAATATGAACTTATTTAATATTTATTTTTTCCATTTAATTCGATCATTTGCCTTCGAGCAGCCGACATGAAGGAGAGAGAAAGAGAGACGTTAGATAGAGAAAATTCACATTTTGAGATGCTTAGGGCCATTTTCAACCGTCGACCCTATAGCATTATTTCTATGAATAAAGTTTAACAAATTCCCAAAGACTATGGATTGATCAATGATATTCTGAAAAATGCCTATTTGGATCACATTATGCATATCTATATATGTTTTCAAAAAATATGAAATTTTTCTAATTTTTTTATTAAAATTATATTTACGTTAGTGAAAAATGCATATAACTTTACAACGATAAACTTTCATCACGTAACTTTTTATATGTTATAGAAGACATGATTATTGTTTAGAAATTTTATAACAAATATGGTGGAATTTGTGCGATTTTAATTGAACAAAAATTAATCGGACACTATAAAATAACGTTGCAGCTCAATAAATATCTTAAAATTGTGTTTTCACTCATTCATATGTTATTTGGCTAGGTTTTGAGATTGTGAAAAATTTCTCAATATGAAGTTCATTTGTCAACTATTATATAATACTGTGAAATTTTGACATGTATTTAATTTTGCTTTAACTAATACAATGTGAGTTATAAGGGGCTAGAATTTTTTGAGATTTTATATGTGCCAGAATTTATTATGATGCTTATAAGACATGTTATGATGGTTATAAGTCATATTTTGGTGCCTATGAGCATATCTCGTGCTATAAGCACACAAGGGAGATATAAGGGGTCAGAATCCTTTGATATTCTATTTAAAACTGGGATATATGATATGAATTGATATATAATATGAATTGCTATGTAATATAAATTGCTTTATACTTTATCTATTTAGTATTATCGTTTAAATAAAATTGGATAATTGTTATGCTTTGATTTTCTTTCCCATTATAATCAATGATTTATTCACCTATTTTTAAATATTCAAAAATATTAATAAAAGATAATTTGAACATTTAGATTGGCTTATGTGATCTGCTGAGTTGTTGTAGCTTACTATTGGTTGCTTGTGATTTTCAGGGTCTGGGAAAGGGAAAGAATTTGATGATAAGTAGTTCAAGATTAGCTTTGAGTTTATAGGTATTTTGCTATTTTGATTTTGTACAGTCATGACTAGTTAAATTTTTTTTTATAGCTCTTACATGTAGCCATATATTATAGTGCATATATTTATTTTGATAAAATAAAAGAAACTTTGTGGATGCGTTTATTTTCATTATTTAGATGTTTTAGTAGTTTAGTTGTTTGTAGTTTTATTTAAAATGAATATTGGAAGAGACTATGAACATTCCAAAACTAAATCTTAAGAATTTCCTATCACAGCTAAACAATGGGATTTATTCTGATTGGGTTGGGGTGAGACACTTCTGCCTTTCTTGATATATGCTAGATATAATGCATCTACTCTCCTAATTGGATTATTGGAAGGCTAAAATTTTATGTGACCAAATCATCTAATGAAGCTCTCTCTAATATTATCTGCTACTGGAGCTACTCAACCCATTCACATATATACTCATTTCACATCCTATCTCTAAGTATAAAGCCACTCATCCATCTAACCATCATCATCTTACAACATTACACTTAATTTTATGATTCTCTTTTAATGATCAAAATTCTATCTCATATAAAAATGCAAGTCTAACCACCCGCTTATAGAACCTTCCCTTAAGTTTGATATGGGCTTAAATACGATAATTGTTATAATCCAACTGAAATAAATTAATATTTAGTCAAACAACCTTATATTTGAATTCTTCAATTTTGCATAAATAAAGTAAATATAAAAAGAATTTTTAATTATTTTAAAATTTAAATTTTAGAATAAATTGTCAAATAATTTATTTAAATTTAATTAAATATTGCACATATTATCAAATAATTTTTAAGATTTTTTTTTTTTGTTGAAAAAAATAGGGGCAGCACCTAGCCACACACACAACACAGAAGTGAGACTTAAATTTAGGACCTCTTAATTGAAAGTCAAATTCCCAATTAACAAAATAAGAAGAGCTGCATAATTTTTAAGATTTAACCATCATAAAAGTTAGGGGATTTATATACATACCACTTAATTTTATGATATCTGCATATCTAACCTCCAAAAGCTTAATATTACACACTCTCTCTCAGGAGCCCCGTCCCCGCTGCAACAACGGCGCTCCTCTTCCACCACCTTCGGCCATCACTGGCGCCGGCTACTTTCCACATCGACCCTTCCATTCTTCTCCGCCTCTGCACCATCCTCTACCAGCATCAACTCTCTCCAGAACCCAAACTCCACTCACACCTCCTCCGCCTTCCCCTCCCCTCCTGCCCCTCCTTCCTCGACTCCCTCCTCCTCCACATATGCACCCGATTCCCGCTCTCATGGCGCCCACCTCACCGCTTCCACCTCTTCCTCCTCTCCCACTACCCCTCCTTCTCTCTCTCCCCCACCGCCGCCTCCAAACTCCTCGACGTCTTCGGTAAATCCCGCAACATCGATCTCTTATGGAACCACCTCCTTCTCATGACCGATCGTTGCCTCCTCTCTCTTTCATCCCTCCGCATTGCCGCACGAGCGCTCGCCGATGCTCGCGAGATCTCCAAATGCGTTCTCCTCTTCCGCCTCGATCCACAATTTTCCACCGTTGTCGCCCTCAACTCCGTCGTAGATGAGCTCTGCTTGAGGAAGCACGTTGATATTGCCCGTTACGTAGTAGCTAAGCACCGGGATTCGATTATTGGAAACAGGGAGACGTACATGCTTCTTATTATAGGGTTTTGCCGGGCAGGTGATCTAATGGAGGCGGCTAGGGTTTGGAATTTGATGCTGGAGAAAGAAATCGAACCGGAAGTGGATGCGTATGAAGAGATCATCATCACGATGTTTAAATCGAATCAATTGCAGGAGGCAATGAGGCTGTTTAAATCGATGAGGGAGAGGATATTCATCGATCTGCGGATCAGTTCTTACCGCATTGTAATCCAATGGACTAGCAAGATTGGAAGGGTTTCTTATGCATACATTTTGTTTGCCGAAATGCTCAAGAGAGGAATGAATTTCGATAATGCCACCATTGGTTACTTAATCTACGGCCTATTGGCCAAAAAAAGAGTGAAGGAAGCTTACAAGATGTTCAAAGAAGCAGAAGAGGTGGATCTGAGCTTATGCCATGGTTTGATGAAGGGATTGCTGAGGATGAAAAGGCCGGCAGAGGCAACTGAGGTTTTTAGAGAGATGTTGAGGAGAGAGATAGAGCCAAATATGCACACTTACATCATGCTTCTTCAAGGTCATATGGGGAAGAGAGGGAGGAAGGGGAAGGAGGAATTGGTGAACTTTGATAGTATTTTTGTTGGGGGATTAGTGAAGGTAGGTAAGACATTGGAGGCAAGCAAATATGCAGAGAGGACGATGAGGAGCACCGTAGAGGTGCCTAGGTTTGATTACAATAAGTTCTTGCATCTCTTCTCTAATGAAGAAGGCGTGGAGATGTTTCAGGAGGTGGGAAGGAGATTGAAGGAGGTGGGAATGGTGGATCTGGGAGATGTTTTGTTGGTGTATGGGGAGAGAATGGCTACGAGGGAGAGGAGGAGGAGAGCTATCTGGAGGGAGTCTAAGGTATGTGAACAATATTCAAATTAGTAATTTTTGCATTTCATTAACTGAATGCTTATCATGGCTAATCCAATTAAGTGTTTATTTGTTGATAAATGTATATGATGTTTATAGATGCTAATGTAAATAAATTATTTATATTTATTCATCTCAAAATAAATTTAAATTTTTTTATCTTGATCCATCATCTTTTTCTTTTCTTATTATATATTGTGCTCCAATATTCATTTAGGTCACTTCGATTAAATCATCATAAGTGGTTGAATTTGATTCAATGTGCCGTTGATCATAAATTAACTCTCCATGTTCACCCAGCCAGAAGTTACCCAAAGCTTTATTCCATCTAGAACGGAATCTTTTCAAGTCTCTCAAGAGACGGGGTTTTCTCACACTCCTCAGTATTTTGCTACTAAATTTATCTGAGAGACTAATAAAGTTGCTCACTCATGAAGGCCACCGACTGAAGAACTTGGTTACTAATCTAGAGTTTTATTTTGCTACTATTTTTTTTTCCTATAGGTCTTTTACACCTTTACTTGTAATTGCCTTTTTGTTTTAATACATGGGATTATGCCCCAAAATTTTCCCCAAAAAAAAAAAAATTCTCACCGATCAACTAGAAATTCTTGCCAATACTCATCAAGAGTACTAGTCTTCAATTTGTATTCACCTATAGTTCCTACCTATTGGACGTCTGTCAACCAAACTTGCCAGCTATACAATCAATCATAAGAGTATTATTTTTTTTCCTTATAATTTTATTGTTTAGGTCAATCTGTACCATTGACCATGATCCTCACATACAAACATAGGATTGTTGTGCGCGAGTACATTTGCAACGGTAGAGAAATAGAGAGTTTAATGTCTGAGTTTTGTACTGAGACCCGACACACATACAAATAAGGAGAATGGAGTGCAAGAATTATAAGAGACATCAAATTTTTTATGTGGAAAAATCTAAAAAGGGAAAAATCACGGGGTCTAATCCAGCTAAAATGATTATAAGTGAAGTGCTTCCTCGGGAGAAGGCATTGATATAATGCAAATAATATATTATGTGGTTGAAGTTGGAAGACCCTTTCGTAGGAATCCAGCATTAATCCAAGTGTGGGAATTGAGAGTCAAAGGTAATGTTGTCGGCGTGCATTAAGTAATGACGTGTATTGACATTATTAGTGATGGTAAATGATAAAGCCAATAGACATTGGCGTAGTCAGATGATAATAGTCAAAAGATTATAGGTCAGAGGACTATAGTCGGTGAGCAACAGAGTTGGAGGACCGTAATCAATGGACGATGGTGGTTGGAGGACCGTAATCATGCTACAGTGCTTGGAGGACTATATGTCTCAACCTGACCTGTTATATCTCACAAATATAGTAGGTCATAATGTGTTGAATTATGATAGAACAAAAATTTCAAGACCTAATTGGAGAGAATTGTAGAATTTTCAATATAATTTATAAGCTATAAAGCTATTAAAACATCAATTAAACCCATAAATACTCATCATCAAACTCTTTTTCATTCATCTCAGAAATATTTACAATCAAAATAATTATCTACAAACAGTCCATGGCACATCTAACCAAACATATCTATACAAACACATAAGTCAGTTCCTACAACGTTTCTCTACTCAGCCCAACCTTTCTCCTTATCTTGACCTGAAACAAATATAGAAAGCAGGCATGAGCAACCATACCTCAACATGTCATATTCAAGAGACTCAATCTTTAATAATGAATGACAGTAATGCAATTGAAATAGTAAAGTAAATTCATTTGTATAAAAAAAATTAAACAGATTGGTCAAAACAAATAGATATCTATTGAACAAGAAATAATAAATTTATCACACCAATTCATAAGTGGAAGAACATTGAAGCAGTAGAATAATAATCATAACACATCAATTGCTCAGAGAAGAACACATTCATTTCTCTCAAGCCCTCATACCTTCCAACCTATACATAATTTATATTTCAGTCCCTTATAACTTCTAGTGCATAACACTCAGATATTCATAATTCTAGGCCCTTATGGCTCTCATTCATATATTAGATTCAAAATGTCAAGCCCTCACAACTCCCTATCAATAGCATAACATAGTCTCCAACAAATCATCAAAACTTCAGTAATTCATACATTTCAAGTGTATAAACATAAAATTAATTACATTTTTAGATATAATAAACAACATTAGATTTATCACATTATTTTCATAAATTGACATACTAGCAATACCGCAGATAAAAATTTAGGGGAAACTCAAATACAAAATTTCATAATTCCATAATTTAATCAAATTACCATACATTATTCATAGCTAGATTTCAAAGCTATTATTACACCATAACTTTTTTTTGCGGTGTCAAAATATTTTTTAAGATCATTAAAATATCATATTTTTAAAATTACCATGTAAAAATTCATAATAAAATAATCATAATGTGCAAAATATTGATATCTACAGCATATCAAAAGTTACACTATGAAACTTTATCGGAGGATCGAATATACCCACTTTTGCGTCAAAATTTTAATTAAAATGTCAGAAAAATCTTAAAAACTCCAAATTATTTGAGACTGTGATGGGCAAAACGTAACCTACCTCAATCTAGATAATTTTTCGAACTACCCCGATGGACAAAAATGACCTGAAGCTGCTTGAAATCTACTTTCTCTCACTAAAGTTTCTCTCTTTCTCTCTCTAGCCGGTTGCCTAAGAGAAGAAATGATTTGGCATTTTAATATTCTGAGTTGTGTTTTGTATTTATAAAATCTTCTATCTATATGTCACTACGCTTAGAGACACAATGCTACAGTGCTCCAGACTAGACGTAACGCCACACCGCTATGCCACTCAGCGCTGCTACGCTCAAATTAAATATGAGAAAGAGAGCTCATCATTCCCAAGGAAAATTTTAATTACTTGATTTTTCATACATAAAGACCCTTGAGACAAACTCCAAAATAAAATCTACACATTTACAAGCTTACAGAGACATTCACATACATATGTAGAATAGAAATGCAAAAATTTAAAACATAAATGACTCACCAAGTCATGTTCACATCAATTCGAGCACTATTGTAGTAGATGTTACACTATGATCAGCTAACGATGGAAGGAAGGACTGAGTCGTGTGCTAGTGGTTGGAAGGACCATAGTCAGTCGACATTGGTTAGAGAATCGTAGTTGCGTGATGGTGATTGAGGATAGTAGTTGGCGGGCGACGAAGGTTAGAGGGCTATTTGTTAGAGGGCTATTTTTAAGCGACAGTGGCTGGAGGATCATAATCAGGTGACAGTTGTGCGAGGACTGTAGTCGACAGATGATGAAGGTCAGAGGATAGTAGTCGATGGGTGACAGAGGTCATATTCGGGCGATGATGGTTAGTGGACTGTAGTCAAGAAGTGGTGATCGGAAGAACGATAGTTGCGCCGATGGTTAATGAGTCGTTGAGTTGTAGTTGGGCGATGGTGGTTGAAGGGTTGTATCAGGAGGCGATGATCAAATGATAGTAGTCAGGCCACGGTGGTCCCAATGACCATAAGTCGATGGTGGTGGTCGGACAGAGGTCTAGTGATGGCGGATGGGCAGAGGTTCGGTGACTATGCCCGGGTGGAGGTCTAGTGGCGATGTAATGCCCCAGGACCTAAGGTATGAACTTAACCTACCTTATAAACTTCTACAACCCCAATTTCACTTTTTGTTATAGAGCCATCTAATCAACTAAAAATAAAATAAAATAAAAGGTACATCAAGATTTTACGAACTCCTTTTCATATTTTTGTTCATCAAAACATCCAAAGCAATAATTCAAAATACAAAAATTTCAACAAAACATCTAAATAAATTCTGAACTAACAAAATAATATAAATACCTTACATACCCAAAACTCATACTTTCTATTATAAATAACCTACTTAGCAAGGTCCTTCCCTTTTCCTTAAATATTTTAAACATTAGTATGAGTAAAGAACTCAGTAGGCCAACTTGTCTCCATAATAGAATTCAATTCACAACATATAATTAAAATAAACAAAAATATAAAATGTTTACATTTTTATTCTAACATAGAACATAACATAATTTATACATTATAGAGCGTCGCAACATGATAAATTAAACTCACATGCTAATATAGATGCAAAAATACATATAATTCATACATGCTTATAACTCTCTTTTTATCACCTCTCACCTACTCTAGGCAGATGCAGATAAGAACTAGAACATAACATAATATTTTCCTCTTAGAGCCAATTCAGAGGTTAGAACAGAACAAAATAATATATAATTTCTAATGAGGCCTAAGCACAGAATTCACAGTGAGCTTTTTGTCATAATAAAATTTTAGAATGTCATGAAATGCATAATGATGCACATGAAGTAAATAACTAAAGAATTAAAGTTGAGTGTTTGCTCAAGTCATATAGGTTTACAAAATCCCCCAAATTTCAATTAGCTACTCAAATATTTCAGAATGTTACTAAATTCAGTGAGATTGTATAAAATGACAATTTAACATAATTTGTCAATTGCACAAAGGTTCAAAAGTGGCACATTTTTTTAGAATTTTAAAAAATTTATACATAGTAAATCAACCGATGAAAATTTGCATTCTTATAGTCAACTCGTTTAGAATAGAGTGCAAAGCGTTATACTAAAAGTTACACTGTGAAACTTTTCCCAAATTTTAGAAAAACACTTTTTAAGCATACATTTTTATAGAAATATCAGAATTGAAATCAGAAATAGATTATAGGTTGTCTACCTCTAGCCTAACATTTTTCTTAACTAGCTTAACAGACGATTTTCGAGCTCTAGCCTCTCTCCTCTCTTTCTCCTCCTCTCCTCTTCTCTAACAAGCATGGCTAGAAGGTGGTGAGGGGTTAGGCAAATGGATTAAGATATTTATTATTTTAAAAACACTCATTTTAAGTTTTAACTCAGCATTGTAGCACTCACCATCCCAACATAGCAATGCTCCCAGAGAATCTTTCAGATTCTCCCATAATATCATCAATAGTGAGCTGGGCATCGTGGCACTGCCTCCAAGCATTATAGCGCCTCCCAAAAACCGGCCCCAAACAAAGAGCTCAATGTTACAGCACCGGTGTCCCCAGTGTTGCTACCCTTCGTTGAACATTTTGGTTACTTACATTCTCTCCTTGCTAGATCAAAATTTGAAATTTTCTTGAGTTAATTTAGCATCATATGACTTAAATAAAAAAACTTAATTAAAATTCACTTTATTACCTAAGTTCTAAAATGACAAGTGTTACAGACAATCCACCAAGCGGAGATCTGGTGGTTGCAGTTACTAATTGGAGGTCTAGTGCCGATCGATCGGGTAGAGTTTTGGTGGCGATCGACTATGTAGTAGCCCAAACTCTTTGGCATATGTAGTAGATCAAGATATTATCTGCTTTGGCCTAAGTGTCTCACAATTTTGTTCTGTTGGTATAACTTCCCAGGAGGTCTCTCATTCCAAGATTTCTCCTATATGAGTTGCTTAAATGCGGAGTTTCTTAATGAAATTTCTACTATTACACCAAAATATGTCTCGATATTTAAGAGTTTAGCTTCATTTAACTTAAGGGGAAATCTCCCCCACCTAAGTAACTAACATCCTCGTCAACATCTTTATCCCATAATCATCTACTAGACAAATAGAATTCTGGAGGTGACATTTACAAGTTCAAGTGGTGACTCCTACCATGTAACACTTTATCTCATATAGAGTTCAAGAGGGGGCTCCCATGACATATTACTTTGTCTTGTATAACATTTAGTTCCCATTTTCTAGCTGATGCATTGCTCTGATACAATTTTTAACAGCCCAAACTCTTAACTATCGAGATATTGTCCATTTTGGCTTAAAGGCCTCAAGGTTTTGTCCTGTTGGTGTAATTTCCCAGGAGGTCACCCAACCCAAGATTTTTCCGAGATGAGTATGCTTAATTATAGAGTTTCTTAATGAAATTTTGGACCATTACACCAAAGGTGTCTCGATTTTAAGAATTTAGCTTATTTTTACTTAAGGGGTTTCACAGACTGGTTGAAGATCAGGCGGAAGTGCCCAGGCGGAGATCCGGTTGCAATGATCGGGTAGAGATCCAACAACGACGACTAGGCGGTGAGGACTCATTGAAAATGTTGCTTGAGCAAAGCTCCGAAATCCTTCAAGCTCTTTTGAATCTCTATCCCAGTTGTCCTCTTTTATGTAATGAGTGGAGGCCTATTTATAGATTTTAAGAATGACATACTTCATAAGTATGAAGAAAATTCAAAACAAATCCGTAGTGCTCGACCTATATTGATTCCCTCGATCATAGATTGTTTCTTCAGCATTTGAGTGCCTTAATTGTCAAACTCGAAAATTTAATGGAAGAATTAAATCCCAAATATAATCACCTCAACCATAATATCACACATACCAGAGTTGACTAAATAATCTGAATTAATTGAAATAATATAAAAAATTATTATTCAAAAGAATCATGTTTAAATAACCCAGTCTAAGTTCATTTTATATATTAAAAGAAAATAACTAGGTTACAAAATACCTCACAGCAGAGCTAAAACCTAGTTATTTTCTTAGTGTCCTTTAGTTGGCTGAACTTTTTTCCTTTTCCTAAAATTCCATTGAATGTATAAAGTGAGCAATTTATATGCTTAGCAGGCTATCCCAACTCCTATAACAGAAATCAATTCACCTTTACATTTTTTAAGTATAAGAATTATATAACACTTAATGACAGTTATCATTGCAACAAAAATTATCTTCAATCTCTTTTTAGGAACATGTATGCCCCAAAACATTAATGTTTTGTAACACTATATTATAAGGGTGACATGAGTGACAAGTACTCAAAATAGTATTCCAGAATTTGGACTAACATCATAAACATATCCTAATACAAAACTTGGGTGTTGATTGAACTTATTCATCAAAATAAAAAACAAAAGTATACCAGATACAGAGGTTTCAAACGAAGATTAACATATATTACTCATTCACTTATTTGCACGGTATATACATGTGTGAAATGCACATGTTCTGATATTCGCTTATAACTCCACTTTCACTTATGCATCATTTAAACCTCTCACATATGCACTTGAGAGATGGGGTCAGAAACAAAAATGCCTTCCTATATCAATACTTGACTGAGGGGCCAAAAAAAGTATAGAACATAGTAGATATACAAGCCCATATAACATAACTTATAGTGTACTTAAGATTTTTATTTTAGAATCTCCTCCATATGTCATGACAGGCACATGTAGAATTTAGCATAAGTGACAGCTATACAGAACATAGAACATGGATATGATTGCATCTGTGTTGGCACATGTACGACATTCTACAGTTAATGCATGTAAAATTTGCTTGATGTTTATCACTTGAAAAAAATATTCATAAAGAACTTTGAAAATATCATTTTAAGACTTTTAATGAATTGTAGCTAATGCCAGAATGTTCATTTTCAACATAAATTAGTTTGATAATTTGCACAGAGAAATCTAACTGGTGCAAATTTGACTTATTACAATTAAAATGACCACAATCGGGTACTCTACTGTATTCTAGAAAAAGAATGGTGGAAAGTTTATTATTCTCATTAGAAACACATTTTACTTCAAAATTTTTCACAGAATTATCAGAATTGAAATTGGGTATTGGAAGCCTACCTTAAGTAGAATAAATCTTCTAATTGGTCGGATGGATGAATCTCCCACCACGGCCTTCGAATTCTTTTCCTTATATTCTCTCTCCTCTTCTCCTCTTTTCCTTCTTCTTTCATTCTAAGCGAGCAGTTGGAGTGAGGGGATTTAATGAAATGGAATTAAATTAAATTACATATATATATATATATATATATATATAT